TGCAAAGGTCTTTTCTACTCCAGAATTATAAAAAACATTCTCCCATGCTTTAAGTACATTTACAATTTCATATTTATATTTAAATAAAACACCAACTAGAAAAACTGTACAAATATAACCGACATCTGGTACTCCAAATATATAAATAATTCCTAGAAATCAATTGTATTAAGAAAGTCCCAATAGAAAAATGAACAAAATGTTCAAATGAACAAACAATTCAGAGAAGAAAACATCTAAATCATCAACAAATGTGAAAAGATGCTTAACTTCTCTACTAATTTAGGGAAAAACAAAGTCAAACAATAGTGTTCCATACTCATCATATTGGCAACAATGTTAAAGTCTGAACATATCAAGAGTGGTGAAAATGTGGGGAAACACTGATGTGAATAAACTGTAGGTGGGAATGTAAATTGTTACAATCACATGGAGAGCAGATTAGCAATATCTATTAAAGTTGAAATAATCCTACCCCCTCCTGCCCTCATGTTCCCCACCTCCTGGAACCCATGCCCTTGTGTAATTCCTTCCCCTTGAGTACAGATTACACCTAGCAACTCACTTTTAATAGATAGAATATGGCAAAAGTGTTAGGATGTCACTTCTGAGAACTGCCTTTCAAGAAATGTTAAAAGAAGGTCTTCAGAGAGAAGAAAAATGACATAGGTTAGAAACTTGGAGCTACATAAAGGAAGAACAACATTCAGGAAGAAATAAATGAAGGTATAAGTAAAATAAAATATTTTGTTTTTCTAACTCTTAACTGATCTAAAAAATATCAATTTGTTCAAAAATAATAGTAAAAATATATTGGATGATTAGAGCTATGGATAACTGAAATGGGTGACAGAAGTGTTACAAGGGAGTGAAGGGAGAAATTGGGAATACTCTGTTATAAGATAACTTCACTATTTGTGAAGAGGTATAGTGTTATTTTAAAGTGGACTTGGATTAGTTGTAAATGTATATTGCAAACTTTAGGGTAGCCACAAGACAAAAAAAAAAAAAAGTAAAAATAAGAAGTATAATTGATGTGCTAAGAGAGGAGAGAAAGTGGAATTATATAAAATGCTCAATTAAAACAAAAGAAGACAGAAAAAGAGCAAAAGACAAGAAAAGAAGGAACAAAAGAACAAGGGCAACAAATTGGAAATAGTTACAAGTATGGTAGATTTCAAGCCAATTATATCAATAACCACTTTAAATGTGTATGGTCTAAATACACCAATTAAAAGATAGAAACTATCAGAATGGATTAAAAAACATGACCCAACTATATGTTGTCTATATGAAGCCTACTTTAAATATAAAGGTAGATAGATTAAAAGCAAAGGGATGCAGAAATATATAACATGCTAATACCAATAGAAGGAAAATTGGAGTAACTATGTTAATTTCAGACATAGCAAATTTCAGAACAGGAAAAATTATCAGGGATAAATAGTGGCATTACATGATGATAAGAGGGTTTCAGTTCTCCAAAAAGACAGAACAATCCTTAATGTGTATGTGCCTAACAACAGAGGGTCAAGATGCATGAGGCAAAAACTGATAGGACTGCAAAAATAAACAGATGAATCCACTATTATAGTTGGAGACTTCAACACCCCTCTATCAGTAGTTGGTAGATCCAGCAGGCAGAAAATCAGTAAGCACCAATCAGAATAGCACCATCAATCAACTGGATCTAATTGACATTTATAGACTACTTCATCCAACAACAGAAGAAATACACATTCTTTTCAGGTTCTTGTGAAATGCTCACCAAGATAGATCACATCCTGGGTCATGAAACATGCCTTAACAATGTGTAAGAAATAGACATCATACAAAGTATGCTCTCAGACCACAAAATGATTAAATTAGAACCCAATAGAAGAAAGATATCTGGAAAATCCCAAAATATTTGGAGATTAAACAATACACTTGTAAATGACATCTGGGTCAAAGAAGAAGTCTCAAGATCAGTTTAAAAAATATGTTGAGATAAATGAAAATACAACTTACCAAAATTTGTGGGATGCAGAAAACACAGTGCTTAGAGGGAAATTTGTAGCATTGAATGCATATATGAGAAAATAAGAATAATTTTAAATCAGTCATCTAAGGTTTTATCTTAGGATACTAGAAAAAAGAAGGGCAAATTAAATCCAAAAAATTAGAAGAAAACATAATAAAAATTAAAGCAGAAATCAATGAAATTAAAAACAAAACAACAGTATAGAAAAATCAACAAAACCAAAAGCTGATCTTTGAAAAGATCAAAAAGATTGGTAACTGTCTAGTCAGGCTGACCAAGGGAAAAAAAAAGAATAAATAAAATTGCTAATATCAGAAATGGAAGAGGAGCCATTACTACTGATCTCATGGACATTAGAAGGATAATAAAGAAATATTATAAACAACTCTGTGGCTACAAAGTTGATAACTTAGATGAAATGGACAAATTCTGTGGCTCACTTTTAATGAATAGGATATGGTAAATGTGATGGGATGTTACTTCTGAGATTATGTATAAGAAGACTATGTCTTCCATCTTGTGTGCTCTCTGTCTCTCTTTCTCACCAGCTGTCATGCTGTGAGGGGACTCAGGAAGCCTATGGATAGGCCCATATGACAAGGAATCATAGTTTCACAGCAACCACATGAGTTAGCTTGGAAGTGGATTTTCTTTGGCCTGCCAACAGCTATGTAAAAGAGTTATGTAAAAGACCTCTCCACCCAACTGAGCCTTCAGATGAGACTGAAACCCCAGATGAGAGCTTGAGTGCAACCTTGTAAGAGACCTTGAGCCAGAGGCACCTAGCTAAACCATGCCCACATTTCTGACCTGTAGAAACTGTGATATAATAAATATTTGTTATTTTAAGATGCTAAGTTTTGGGGCAATTTGTCACACAGTAATAAATACCTACTACATGCCATTTGACCAAGAAATTCCACTTCAACGTACCTACACTAGAGAAGTTTTTTCCAGTCCTTTCCCATCAGAGCATATGTTAAAAATGCTAGTATTTATATCAGTTCACTGGGGTAAACAGACAGTCTGCTCTTGGACAGAGGCAACAATCCCCAAGAGAAGCAGCTGGGTGAAGCCAGGGCCATCTTCCTGGAAGGCTAAGGGGATCAACATATTGGAGCACTCATAACTCAGTTGGGAAGCTCCACCCTAGAGAAACTTCCATATGGGCACGTGGAGCCATACTCTAGAATGTTCATTGAATCCTCACTTATAATTCCACAAAACAGAAGCAACTCAAATCCATCAGTAGGGAAAGAGAAATAAAATGGCTAATTCATGCAATGGAACTCCATACAATAAGATGTTGCAGTAATATTGTATGGGCTAATTGACACAATAGTATTCAGCAATTAAAATGCATGACCTAGATCTACATGTATCAAAATTGCTAAATTAAAAAAAAAAATGAAGTGAACATTTAAGTTGTGAAAGTATATATTTATCATGATACTATTTATATAATTTAAACACACAAAACAATAATGTGTATTGGTTACAGATGTATACATATGTGGATATAGAAAAACAAACGTGCACAAAAAGGAATCACATCAACTTGCAAATAGGGCTTATTTTAGGGAAAGAAGTAAGGTGAATAGGATAAAGTGATAGCTTCAAATGTAATATTTTGTTTCAAAAACAGAAGGATCTGAGGATCTGAAGGAAATAAAATTTGCTTAATCTGTGTGGCGGGTGCATTATATGTGTATTTTACACTCTGTATTTTTCTGTATGTTTGAAATATTCAAAAATATTTTTATAAGAGAAAATGCTCCTCTCTTGAGTACAAAAATACATAAACATTAGATCAGGCTTATTAATTGTGTTGTTCAATATCTATATCCTTATTTATTTTGCAGCCTATTTGATCTATTTATACCCTAAGAAGTGTAGTTAAGTCTCCCACTGTAATTGCAGACTTCCCGTCTCTCTTTATATTTCTGACAATATTTGCTTTATATATTTTGAAACTACATTGTTTAGCTCACAAATTTTTGTGACTATCATATCTTTTTCTGTGAATGAAACAATCTGTTTTATTCTCTTTAATGCTTTTGAGTTCTTGATTTTTATAACGTTAATATCACTACAAGTTTTTTTCCTCTTTCCTTTCCTTTCTTTTTTGCCTTCTTTCCTTCTCTTTCTTCCCTCTTCTTTGATATATATGGATTTGTTCCCGCCCTTTTGTTTTCTTTTCACATCCTTTTTTCTCGCCACACACCCCATTTCTTGCCCTTTGTTAGATTAGGTTTTTCTTTTTGTTCCACATATGTTACTTTAATGACTTGAAAGTTATACATCTTATTTCTATTCTGTTGTTTACTTCCATTAAGAACGAGACTTTGCTACTGTTTCATTCTTTACATTGGAAGTCGTTACATTGGCTGCAAAGATTAGAACTCTATTATAAAGTGTAATTTAAAGAGTTCTGACTTCAGTAAAATTGTATAAATCCAAAAGACGTAACTAAAATATTTTTTAACTGCAGTACAACTTCCGGAATGTGAATCCGTGTTGTGTTACATGATTAATCATTTCTTTTGGAGAGAGAAGCTTGGTTTTGTGATTAATACTAACAAATTCTACTGTAAACACTTCAATTTGCTTCAACCACCAAGTTAAAAAAGAAAAAGCTTACTGCAAACCCAAATATAGCTTCACACTGTTAATACTTCCAGTACAAACCATAACATATAACATAGGATGTGATATAATAATATAATTACTCACATTGGAATTAATCATAAAGAATTTACAGATTTCATTTTATTGAGGAAGAAACAGAGGAGAAGGGAATATGGCTAAATGTTTAACATTTGTGAAAGCTGGCTGTTTGTTACATTTTTCGCTGTCCTTTTCTGTATCCTTGACGATTTCATCATTTAAAATGAAATAGTGCTCTCGGGCCCACCCTGATTTGTTGCGAGCAGCTGCCGCCCCCGCCACATCCAGTGGGCGGGCTTGGGCGGACTCCACAATCACTTCCGCCGCCGCAGTCGCCACCCGCGGGGCTGCTGTCTGTTGGGGGAGGAGCTCGAGACCAGGGAGCAGCGGCTCTGGCGGTCGTGGCGGTCGTGGCGGTCGGAGGTCCGAGGTTCTGCTCCTCTCAAGAGCTTGCGGCTGCCTGGACTGGGTGAGTGAAAGGCTGATGGTTCGACTCATCCAGGCGCTGGCGGAGGGCGAGCGGCCGGGCGGGGGGCTTGTGACCCGGCAGCGGGGGCGAGGATTTGGGGTATTCCAGAGAACTGCTTTTCAGGTTCGCCCCTCAGGAAGGGGTGGGGCGGTCGCGGGACCTGGCTGCAGAGTAGGGCCCGTGTCCTCCATCGGCCTGTTTGAGGGCCGCAGCCTCCATTGCCAGGCCCTTTCGGGGCTTTATCGCTGTTTGAAAGGGGAGTGGTGGTCGCGGTCCTCTCCTTCGCCCTGCCTCTCTTCTCCTCTCCTCTGTCCTCGGGCCCCATTGCGGAGCACTCCGTGACCTGCCCTCCCCCATTTTGCTGTGGTTTTGCTGAATGGTAAATGGTTAAGATTGTTAGATGAAAATATTGTTCCCGGGAAAAGAATTGTTGCCAGAAAAAAAAAAAATTTCCAGGTAAAAACTATACTCATTCACGCCCCTTCCCACCTCCCCACCACCGTCACATCGGTTTGGGTCTGACGTTTGAGCTGATAACATTTTCCCTCTTATTATGACATTGCGCCCCCCTGCCCCGTGTCTTGCGTGCGCACGCGCGCACACACAGGTACGCACACACAGAAACCTTCCATTGAAGCCCCCTCCCTGCCCCTCCATCCTCAAGGTTCCAGTGTGTCCCCTGCCCCGCGCATGCGCAGACACACACGCAAAACCCTCTCGCACTCCCTCACATCCTCCAATGCCTTCCCTCTCCCCTCACCACCTACCTCATATACACCTCTAGAACTGGCACCCCGCTTCCCCCTGCCTCTGTCCTCTGGCCAACATACACACACACACACACACATGCCCTCCAAGACCACCCTCCTTCTGCCTGCCTGCTACATACACACAGAAGGACATCCTTCTCTTGCTGGCCACTGACACACATATGCACCCCCACACTATCATTCACACATCCTTCTCAAATGCCCTCCTCTCTTGCTCTCTGCCTGCCACATACGTGCATCAGCAGCCCTCCTTTGCTGGTCTCAGAAGTGCACACACATTCACATGCATCCTTCTCTGGGGATACCACCCCACTCCCTGCTTGCCACATTCACACATGCAGATGTTCCTTGATTGCTGGCCTCTGTTCCATGCCACACACACATCCCTCTCCAGTGCTGCCCCGCCTACCATTGATGCCTGCTGCATTTGATCACACTGATGTTTCTCCATTGTGGCCTCCCATTTTGATGAACATATACACACGTACATAGTCTCTCTCTCTCTCTCTCTCCTCTCTCTCTCGACACTTCTCTCCATTACCGCCATACCCTTCCGTGCCTGCAGCATAAAATAAACACAGGCGTCCCTCCATAGTTCCAGCTGCCATACATACAGCTATACACACACACATTCTCTTTCTCTCATACTTACACACAGCCCTCTCCTCTGAAGCCACCCCACCCATGCCCATCATTTTTGTATCCACATCCAGAGTGGGTCTCATTCTGTCTTAACACTCACACTCTTTCCCCCTACAAACATCCCTCCATTGCAAGATTGCTGGTTCCCCTTCCAACTGCCCATTTCCTCCTGACAGATACATAGGCACTCATGCATACATAGTGATCTATATTTTCAACTCTATTCCAATTTGCATTTGTCCCGCATGTCTGCAGGGCTCAGAAAAACACAGACACCCCATAAAAAGCCCACAGCAGTCTTTCCTTTTCCCACGTTGGCACAATTCCACCGTACTTCACCCACCTTCCAAGTGTCCAGTTATCCCCAAGTCTGACTTTCCTACAAACTCAGTCTTGTAATCATTTTGCCAACATTAAAAATATGTTCCAGGTCTACACCTGACAGTCACTGGAATGCTACTCCAGGCCTTAGAAGAAAGTGAAACTAATTTTAAAGGCCCCTTATTCTTTCTGTTACCTGCCTGCTGAACTGAAAATAAATCTCCCTGCTCCTTTATTCTGAACTGAGTTGACTTTCCCATCTCGAAAACGTGTGCAGAGAGCAGGAGCCTTTCCACCCAAGCTCCAGCTGTATTGGAAACCTTCCTAAGTCAGAGCAATGGGTCAGGAATCTAGCAAGCCTGTGTGGCCCAAACCAGCAGGAGGGTATCAGTCCAGTACAGGCAGGAGATATGGAAGAAGGCATGCTTATGTCAGTTTCAGGCCATCCACGAGCCAGCAGGAAAGGATTGCCAGCCAGGGAAAGACAACATCTGAAGTCGCAATGCACAGATCAGCCCCCAGTCAAACCACCAAGAGGAGCCGATCGCCATTTTCCACCACTCGTCGCAGTTGGCACAGAGAGAGCTCGGGCACCGGTCTGAATGTTGATAATGAGGACTATTCCAGGTATCCACCAAGAGAGTACAGGGCTTCGGGTGGCAGAAGAGGAATGGCTTATGGACATATTGACTCTTATGGGGCAGATGATAGTGAGGAGGAGGGGGCTGGGCCTGTTGAGCGACTACCAGTGAGAGGGAAAGCTAGCAAGTTTAAAGATGATAAGCTGTATGACCCAGAGAAAGGGGCAAGGTCTTTGGCTGGGGTGCCTCCACAGTTCTCTGGTATTAACCATGATGTTAGAGAGGAGCTTGATGAGTTAGATCCAGCCCCTGCAACAAGATGCTCTGCTGGCAGAGCTGAGTTCCTGCAGCAAAATAGCGTGGTCTCTCAGATGTCTTGTGCTGAAGGCAAGGTGGCCACAAATGGTGACAGCTTGGAGAGGGAGAGACGAAAGCAGAATTTATCTGCACGTCCTGGCAGGGCTCCTGTGAGTATGTGTGGTGGTGGGGAAAACACCCCAAAGAATGCAGAGGAACCAGTAGTGAGGCCCAAAGTCAGAAATCTGGCAAGTCCAAACTGTGTGAAACCAAAAATATTTTTTGATACTGATGATGATGATGATATGCCACACAGTACTTCCAGGTGGAGGGATACTGCCAACGCCGATGAAGGCCACTCTGATGGCCTAGCAAGAAGAGGCAGAGGCGAGAGTTCAAGTCTCTACTCTGAGCCGAAGTATCCTGAAAACAAGAGGGAAGTGAGGAACGACCAAGTGAAACCAGAAAAAGTGCCGAGACGGCGACGAACCATGGCCGACCCTGACTTCTGGACATATACTGATGATTACTACAAATACTGTGATGAAGACTCTGACAGTGACAAAGAGTGGATTGCTGCTCTGCGTCGAAAGTATCGAAGTCGAGAGCAAACCCTGTCCTCCAGTGGTGAAAGCTGGGAGACACTGCCGGGGAAAGAAGAGCGTGAACCTCCGCAAGCTAGAGTGAGTGACAGTGCCGGTGCCGGCACCAGCCCCAGTCCCAGCACTGGTGCCAGTGCCGGTGCCAGTGCCAGTAGCAATGGCAGCAGTTATCCTGAAGAGGTTCGAGAACCATCTCTTCAGGAAGGGGAGCAGGCATCCCTGGAAGAAGGAGAAATTCCTTGGCTCCAGTACAATGAGAATAGCAGCGAGGGGGATAATGATTCTGGTCAGGATTTGATGCAACCTGGTGTATTCATGCTGGATGGAAACAACAACCTTGAAGATGACTCCAGTGTGAGTGAAGACCTAGAAGTGGATTGGAGCCTCTTTGATGGATTTGCAGATGGGTTGGGAGTGGCTGAAGCCATTTCCTACGTAGATCCTCAGTTCCTCACCTACATGGCACTTGAAGAACGCCTGGCCCAGGCGATGGAAACTGCCCTTGCCCACTTGGAGTCTCTCGCGGTGGATGTAGAAGTGGCCAATCCACCAGCGAGCAAGGAGAACATCGATGCTCTTCCCGAGATCCTGGTCACTGAAGATCATGGTGCCATTGGTCAGGAAATGTGCTGCCCAATTTGTTGCAGCGAATATGTGAAGGGGGAGGTGGCAACAGAGCTGCCGTGCCACCACTATTTCCATAAGCCGTGCGTGTCCATCTGGCTTCAGAAGTCGGGCACCTGTCCCGTTTGTCGCTGCATGTTCCCTCCCCCACTCTAAAGACCAAGGCTGTTTACTCCTGGTCTGATGATTTTCCCCATCTGAAATCTACAATACTGCAGGAGCCCTGTCAAAATCAACAATGAAAATTAAACCAATTGGTTAATTAGACTAAACCTGTCAGTTTCTTGTGAGTGTTTCCAATGTGAAAACAGTGTATATGATTGCATTAAAAATCATATTGTCTTTTAGAGGTTAGAAAGGGAAAACTAAACTTTCTAAATGCTACTTGAGATTGCAGTAAGAACATACATTTTCTAACCTGAAAGTTGAAATAAGTCGCATTTGTTTTCTTCAGTAGAATATGTTGCTGTTAATTGTAATGTCAAGTTTATCTGTTAAGTATGTTCAAAAGGCAAAATCATTTTTGTTGCATGTAATGGGTTAATGTTCCTGTAATTGAAGTGCCGTAAAAGCTTATTAAAGTTTTTCTTTTGGTTTTACATGGTATAGCAGAATTGTTTGGTTTTGTTTGAAATGGTGGTATTAAGTGACTTTATAATTGATCCCTTGCATCTGTGTCAAAAGTAGAGTTTTTTGGTATCCTTAACAGTAGAAAAACTTGTTTTGCTGGAAATGCTGACTCTAACAACAGCAAAAAAATGAAGGTAATGATTTTTTAAAAGCAATAAAGTGTGTAATTGTCAAACTTTACTATAGGGAAAAAGATTGAATTGAGAAAGAGCGAAGGAAAAAAACAATAAGAAAGCATGGTAAAAATACAGAACAATAGTAGGAATAAATCCAAACTGAATATAGGGATGAAAGAGTTAAAATCACCTTTGAGAAAATAGAAACTCTCAGAGGGAATGGATAAAAAAATAAAGCTATATGCCAATTATATACCTCAACACAGTAACACAGATAGGAATAGAAAAATATATGCCAGACAAGTGCTGCAGGAAAACATAGTCACCTACCTACACAGAGTGAACAGGTTTCCACATTGGCCATATTTGCTTCAGATCTCTCTCTCCCCTGCCCCCCACCTTTCTCTCTCTCTCCTTTTTTCTCTCTCTCCAATAAATGAAAAATTTCAGGTACAGGTGAAGTTCCTCACCCCGTCATATTTACCTTCTTCCTTCCATAGAGGTAAGCACTACCCAGAAAATGGTGTGTTTACTTCTCATCTGTGTCTTTAGACATATATGCAAGTGTGTGTATGTGTATATGTATGTATATGTGTATATATGTATATGTGTGTGTATATATCCATAACCATTGTGGTATATTTATGTTTTTAAAGTGGACATAATTGATAGAATGTATATCTCATTTTGCAACTTTGTTTTTTCACTCAACATTGTTTTTGAGATTTAGCCACTTTTGATACATGTAGACTTAGTTCATGCATTTTAACTGCTGTATACAAAATATTCAATTGTATGAATTACCTTATTCATTCCCCTATTGGTGGACATTCGGGTTCTTCCCAGCATTTGTGGCAGTGAACATACTAAAAAGATGTCCCTTTGTGCACTTCTGTGAATTTCTTTAGGGGTAAGTATATGGAAATGAAATTTCTGGGTCCTAGGGTTTGAGTACCTCCACCCCAACTGGATATTGCCGAATTGCTTTCCAAAGTGATCATACTAATTTATGCTCCTACCAACAGTTTATGAGAGTTGTTTTCCCACATCTCCAACAAGCCTAGGTATTGTTAATGTTCAACCACACTGGCAATTGGTGATATGTAAATGAACACACCAATGGAACATATTGTGTCCATCAGAAAGCAATAGTTTTTCTTCATGATAACATCAAGTTTGGGCTAGGAAGAGAGGAAATGAGAAGACTCATGCAGTTGGTGTGCATGTAAATCACAGAAGCCTTTTTGGGGAGCAGTTTGGGTAGTAGCCATCAATCAACATGTAAAGTGGTGCATGTCCTTCAACCCAACTTAGATACTTTGGTAGCATGGAATTAGTACTATGCAGCAGTTGGAAGTTGTATGTACTGATATGGAAAGATCTCCAAGACATAATGTTAAGTAAAAAAAAGCATAGCGCGGAGAAATGTGTACAGTCTTTGTATAAAATAAAACATTATAAAACCAAATTAAATATGAAAATCCATAGAAAGCAGTGGTTACCTCTGGGGAGGGACAGAGGATTGGGGGAAAGGAGTGAGGAAGGGGGCTTTTGGTTTTTCACCTGAAATAATGAATTTAGTTGATTTTTTTTACCATGTCCGTTTTTTTTATGAATATTAACAAAATAGGTAAAATCAAAAAATATTCGAATTTAAGAAAAGAAAGATATCATCATTCTCTTACTGAAAGTACAGAAACATGGGTAGAGACCATGGTCCTTTTTTCTGCAGCTGGTCAAACTGATATAACTTCGTCCCCCATGAGCCATTCTATGTTCCCCCTTGCCTTCAGCCAGCACCTCAGCTAGTCATGGAGACTCAAAAGTCTGAGTCCTTGGAGGGCCCTTTTTGGGTGGGTGGTGATGGTTTGCCATGAACCTTTGCTGTGCCCTGACTGACCACACAGGAGGTATTTTAGGCACACCTTTAGGTTCTAATCATCTTCCTCCTTGTTCCCACTGAATAGCAGCAACCCTAATTTCCCTTTTAGTCAGAATTAGGCTATCCATGGAAGGGGACACCTACCCAGTGCCTGAAGCTCCTGCTGGTGTTGGAGAAACCTGCCACTGCAGAGTCTTGGTGGAGGTGAGGTTCACTCTAGCAGGGAAGCCCACAGGACTGAGACTTGTGCCCTGGTGCTTTCAGCAGCTCATACTTGGACCTGGGACTCCAGACACTCGTGTTCAGTACTTTCAGTCTGGAGGGAGGAGTCAGAGAAGCGGAGGTTCTGAAGCATTTGCTCCTGTGCTGCTGTGGGGGTGATGATGGTGGTGGCAGCAGTGGGGACAGTGGTGTTCTAGGGCTGCAGCGGTGTGGGTCCTGTGCTGACGTTGCTGGTGGCCAATAGCTCCCATGGCAGGATATGGCTGTGTCCTTGGCTACCCAGTTCCCTTGTTCCTGTCAGTTTCTGATTCTCCAGCCTCCCTGACTCCATAAACTCCCCAAGCTCTTCCACAGCCTTCCAATAAAACTTTTCCGATTAAATGAACTAGAGTTGTTTTCTGTTGTTTCTGTTGTAAGAACCTTAAATGGCACACTTACCAACACCATACACGCTTTTGTGCTTGTTCTCCTTGCCATATAAAGTATCTCAAATGACCAAGGGTCAGGCAGTTTCTGCTTACAATGCACTGGCCCTATTATTAGCACCTGGAGCCATGGTTTTAGACCAGTAGGCCTCAGGGGCCTCTAGACATGAAGCAGTCATTTTTGAGAATAAGTTATTTAGCATGGTCATTGAAGGAACCACCCACCGCACTTTACTTCTTGGTTTCTGGACTTGTTTTCTGGCTGTGGAATAAATAGCCCCAAATTTTGGTCACTAATTTGGAGCATAACCACTACATTTTGCAAGAGAGCACTCCAAGTTCCTGAGGTGGTCCCCCCAGCTGCTGCTACCCCTTCTGGTGCTGTAAGGCACTACTCTTCTCTTAGCCTTTTGTTCCAGTAAAACCCTTCCATGAATGTGCCTAGGGACCTCTGACCTGAAATGTCCTCTCTAGTCCTGTCTAAATTATACTTATTCTTTACAAAGTTCACGTGCAAACTCCTGAAAAAAAATTCTGATGCCCCCCTAGCTCCTTCCCTCTTTGTCTCCCATCTCTGTAAGACCTTGAGGTCAGGACCTACATCTGAGTCATTTGTTTAGTTCTGGCATGCAGTGCTTGTCATGAAAGTGTTCAGCAACACTTGCTGCCGGAATGAATAGAGTCCTCTCCCAAGGTAGCCTCAGGTAGGGGCTGTGTTCAGAGAGAACCCAGGAGGAGTCATGGGGGCCTGGCCCAACCTTAGTCCCACTCCCATCCCCCGCACCCAGAGGCCCCAGCACTTCTCCTCCTCCCCTCCTGCCACCCTCTCATCCCCCTAACCTCTGTCTCATTTTCTGTTTGTCCTGTTGAATCCCCAGTGTTTCTGAAGCTGTCCTCAGGCCCAGGGCCTGTGAATAGGAGGTGCTGTTTATCTGAAGGTGGAGAAATATGTGGCCATCAGCCCAGTACCCCACCTTTGGCCTGGGTTGATCCTCTGACAAACATGAAGCTGACAGGACACTTGCCCACCTGGCCCAGCCTTGGACAAGGCCTGGCATGGAGCAAGCCATGTTCTGGGACCTGTGAACCACCCTTTCAGCCGGTCTTGGCCTTGGCATCTGCAAAGCAGGGCTTTGCATGCAGGTTGCTGTTTCCTGCATGCCTCCTGTCCCGTTTCCTCCCTCTGGGCTTCACCATCCCAAGAAGGGTGGTCCAATATTAGTGAGGCTTCATAATCACTTACATTTGCATTAGACTTTCCCACAGACCTTTGAATTCAGTGATTTCACTGGACCCTCCCATCAACCCCAGAAGGTGAGTGGTAAGGAGACCTAGGTTCAGAAAGGTGGTAGCACCCTGAAGACAAGAAAGAGTGTGTCCGCTGGGTGGGGGAAGGCAGCAGGGATGTCCCAGTGTAGTGAGGAGCAGGCAGAGAGTATAAAATCCCGAGCTGGCTCCAGCTGGAACCTGTTCAGGCCTTCTGGTCACAGGCTGCCAGCCTCCCAGCAGCACACTGCGGAGGCAGGGCAAGAGCAGCCTGGGGCACCCAGACAAGAGGACACCAGGCAGTTCGGTGGGAGGGAGGAAGAGGAGAAACAGGAGTCAAATATGTAGAAGGGTTCTTCCGTGGGAGCTGGGGACTAGGACACAGAATCTTCTGAGAGTCAGAGGTTAAATGGCCCAAGCAGAGCCTGGGAGTCAGCCTGAAAGAAAGCGGGAACCAGGGCACCAAACATGTGCAGACCAATCTTCAGGGACCCAGGGGAACCCATCCCAAGGTACTACCCAGTCCAGACCGTGCTTGCACTCAGCAAACACATTCCTGCCCGCTCTGCACTCAAAGCCACAGGTTCAGAGCTGATCGGTTTAGTTCAACAAATATTGATTGATCTTCTGCCTCAACCAGGGTCTGCAAGAGATGAATAAGGCTTAGTCCTTCCCTCAAAGAGCTCATGGTCTAGAGGGGGAAACGAACTTTTGAAGAGAGGGTGGAAAATGTGATGTGGAGGCAGACATAGGGTGACCAGGAGCAAAGAGGCTGGCTGGCTGAGCTGCAAGGGAGGCTGGTCCCCAGAGGCATCCCGGATGAGTCTACTCACCCCTAAAGTCTGAGCAGGCACCAGCCAGGTAAGGAAAGGGATGGAGGGAGGGTAGGATGGGCCCTTTTACTGTGCTCTTGTCTGCGGAGATGTCATGGAGGTACCATTTGTTTGAAGGGCCCTCTCTGAAATGTATTAACATTTAAAATCCACACACTCTCTGACCCAGCAACTCCACTAGTAGGAATTTATCCTTCATGAGAAAAAGTGCAAGATTGTTTGTACAAGAATA